AGGCCCCTGTGCTGCAGGGACCCCCCCAGCCAGGCCTGTCCCAGCCCCATCACTTTTGTAGAGGGTGATGGGTTCCCCCTCCCCCCCCCGGCACCATCCTTGGTCCTTTGCTGACCTGACCCCCCAGCCCATCACTACGGCCCCCGTCAGAGCACCAGCCTGACTCCAGCCCTGCTGCATGGGCCGGGGCAGGTGGGGGAGAACCCCCCTGCTCGGCGCAGGCTGCCCCACCATCGTCTCCCGCAGCCAGTGGGGGGCCCGGGCCCCGAGAAGCAGGGTGCGCCTGAGGACCCCAGCGCCCTTCGTCATCATCCACCACACGGCCGGGAACCACTGCACCTCGCAGGCCGCCTGCAGCCAGCAAGTCAAGAGCATCTGGAGCGACATCGGCTACAAGTGAGTGTGGGGGGGTCTCCCCACGGCGATGGGGGAGACTCGGGGCCTGCCAAGGTGGGTTCCCCACTCTGGCGCTTCAAGTGCAGAAGGTGGAGGCCTTAAAATGACCTTGCCTCTCGTGGCTTGTGCTTAAAAACTCCCCAAGGACACAGATTCCCTGACCTTGGCAGGTAGCTGCCACCACCCAAGTGAAAAAAAATCCTTCCTGAACCCAGGAAGAAGACTTCCTCCGGACGGGTACCCACGCTCTTCTACCACGAGAGAGCCTGAAAAAAACTCACCGTCATCTCCGATAGCTGCCCTCTTCATCTGAGGCAGGCACGCACAGACCTCCTCTTACCTTCCAGGACACAAGAATCAGATCACAGTCACGCTGAAAAACGTGATTTCATTCACAAAACCAAAAGGCTAGATGTTAGAAAACAACTTGAGAACTGAACAGATTAAACCCCAGAGAATTGCTGCCCCGCGATTCCGATTAATGATAGGCTAGGTCGACACCGCAATGGGACGTCGGAAAAAGAATCGGATCTTTTCCTGATTGACTTTCGAAAGAGGCTTTTCTGAAATTTGGCGCGTCTACACGGTGCCAGATTTCACATCCTTTATTCCTCATAGAACGAGGTGTACAGGGAGGGTGAAAGCGCACGGCCGCTTTTTCAAAAAAAAAATTCAGAAAAGCGGACACATTCCTTGGATGCGGCGGAGTGGCTTTTCCGGGATAGCTCCAGTATCCCGAAAAAGCAATGCAGTCTAGACATAGCCATGGTGTATGGGAGGGGGGGCGCGTGGATTTAGCACAGAGCAGTTTAACCAAATAACAAAACAAAGAAAAGAGCCTGCCTGTGTCTAACTAAACATTTCCTGTCTACTCGCAGCTCCATTGCTTATACCAGTCCTTTTCTAGGCATGGGAATCCCTCTGGTTCAATTCATCTTGTCCCTGCGGCTCCTGGTTTGAACCCCCACAAAAGAACTGCAGCAGGCAGTGTCTTTTTCCATTCTGATCTCAACGCTTTCTTCCCGTTGATTCTCATGGCCTCCTGGTTACCCACTGGTCTGGGTTTAACCCTTCACGTCCTGGTTACCCACTGGTCTGGGTTTAAGCCTTCACGTCCTGGTTACCCACTGGTCTGGGTTTAAGCCTTCACGTCCTGGTTACCCACTGGTCTGGGTTTAAGCCTTCACGTCCTGGTTACCCACTGGTCTGGGTTTAAGCCTTCACGTCCTGGTTACCCACTGGTCTGGGTTTAAGCCTTCACGTCCTGGTTACCCACTGGTCTGGGTTTAAGCCTTCACGTCCTGGTTACCCACTGGTCTGGGTTTAACCCTTCACGTCCTGGTTACCCACTGGTCTGGGTTTAAGCCTTCACGTCCTGGTTACCCACTGGTCTGGGTTTAAGCCTTCACGTCCTGGTTACCCACTGGTCTGGGTTTAAGCGGGGGGGGGGGGGCAGCAGCAACTGCATTCAGGGGAGCAGTGGGGGGTGGGAGAATCACCCACAGAAGTGATTTGTTCTTTGTATTGAATTGTTTGGGCTGAAAAGTGGAAAGGGGGGAGGGGAGCTCTCAGCAGCTCTCCTGTGGGGGAGGAGGACATAGAGGACGTGCAGCTCCTGGCAGGGAAGATGCGGAGGAGGGGGGGGCGTGAAACAAGGGGCATGGGATGGGGCAGCCATGGAGTTTGTAGGGGGATGCAGGGGGGCCCGGGGCTGTCCCACAAGCTTGGCCAACAGAATCCATGCGGGCTATGCCTGGCTCATCTGTGACACTGCCCCCTGCAGCTGGGAATTTCCCACAGGGCTGCAGCTCCCTGCTCTGTTCTCCTGCCCCACATCTGGGCAGGCTACAGCCCTCGCTCACGCCCCAGCTGTGTCTAGCGGGGCCCAGGGTTGTTACTATGGGGGGGCACATATCACACTGTGCCACCTGATGGCCACATTGTGCAATACAGTCCAGTCCCTTTCCTCGGTAGATCTTTAGCTGCCCCGGCACAGCACTGAGCCTCTCGCTCTGAGGGTCCCAGGTTCAAACCTGGGCAGGGTCAGTGATGATGCTGGGGGAGCTGCCAAGATGCAGCTTGGCAGGGGGAAGATGCAGGAGCCAT